ATCAGAACGTTGATTATCTCTTTAAAGAGTAAGTTCCAGCAGGGTCACCAGGGGTCAGCCTTTCAGAATCCTGTCTCTGACATAGGGAATAGCCACACGGAGAGGTTAGGGCCCTGGGCCCTTAACCTCTGAACCCCAAAACAGTAGGGCCTAGGGCGTAGAAAAATCATCCAAGGAGTGCCGTGATCCCCATGGTTTCTAATTCAGAGCACCCCTCACCCCATAATAACACCTGAACTGCCTCTCCCGCTTAAACTCTTTTGTGCAATAGAAGCCAACAACAACACAGGCACTTTGGGGCCACTTGGGTTTACAATGGAGACAAACAGACAGCACTGGTGCCCTCAGGGGGCTTGCTAATCATTTTAATGCATTTTGCTTTCAATTTGCTTTTTCTAATAGAATTATCAGAAAATGACCATTTTGACCATTTTGATGATATGATCATTTTTGAGATCATGAGCTACATCCTAAAATATGAGGTCTGTCCAGAGTTATCTGGCCATGTAATATGAAAAATGGAGACATTTATTGAAGAAGATACAAGATACAAGAAACATTGTACATAGGACAATGATACCTCAGTCCCCTTCACACAATTCTCCCAATTGCCATCAGCTGTCCTGTCATGTTTTCCTGAATCTCATTGACTGAAATCTCTTTCCTTTGAAAGGTGATTTTGTTTTGGGGAAAAGTCAGAAGTTGCAGGGCACCTAATCTGGGCTGTAGAGGAGCTGAATTGCCTGGGAGATTCAATGCTTCACCAAAAAACTCCCCATGAGACATGGTGCATGAGCAGTCATGTTGTCGTGAGGAGGTTGCCAATCACCAGGAGCCCATAGCTGTGGCCTTCTGAATCATCTGAATAGTTTCCTTCAAGCTTAATGCAAAATTTGATGCAGATTTGCTGCTCTACTTGCTCAAGTCATTTTGACTGCGACAGCCACACAGCACACATGCTCACTCAATGGCATCTACTGCACCCACTGACTAATACAGTGAAGTTGTCATTGTTCACACATGCACATTCCAGTCCACTCTCATTTGCTGTCAGGTTACATTGATGTTGTGCAAACTGTTCTTATTATATTAACAATCGCTGCACTTTTTTCAGACAGACCTTGTCATATACCTACACTTGGTTGTATACCTATACTTGGTTTTAAACCATGATTAAAAGTTAAAGGTTTCTTTTTCCTGAAGTTAACATATACTTAAAATGAAACCAAAAAAAAAATCTAAATTAGGTATTCACAGATATCCTTGTGAGAAATTACCAAGAGCAGCAAGGTAAATTGACATGCATGTTTCTGACTGCATTTGGAAGACCTAAAAAGTTTCTTCCCTCTTTATTTTCTTTTACTAAACCATAGTCTTTTCCTGTTTACCACAAACAAAATTTATTTATTTATTAATTTATTTATTAAATAAAATAGGTCTTTCTTTTTTGTGTTTTGCCCAAAGACAATATGGAATTGGCCCCTCAGGTATTAGACTAAGGATTAGTGAGGACATCTTAAGCACAACTAATTAATGAAGTGTTTCCTGGATGTAGCATATTATATTTAACTACATTAGAAGGAACTAAATATAAAATATCACACATAGAAATAAACAGAATTATTCAGAGTGGGGAGAGGGAGTTTTATGCAAGTATTAATTAGGGCTAAAGAAAATGGGCATTAAGTTGTTTTCTCCATAGCATTTTTCTTTAAAACTTCTCAGTTGGAAGAAAACTAAGTCTTCAATATTAAAAACAACTCTGTAAGCAAAAATTTGATTTGTCACACTGTGGAACAGGGCACTGTCTACACAGAATATTCTGTGATATGGAAATGTCCTGTTATAAGAAAAATGTTCTGTATCTGTGCTGCCCCAACAAGGTGGCTACGAGCCACATGTGGTTATTTAAATTTAAATTAACTGAAATGCAATAAAATTAACAATTCAGTTCATCAGTCGCAGTAGCCATATTTTAAGTGTTTAATAGCAACACGAGGCCAGTGGCTCCCATACTGAACAGCGGAGTTCTAAAAGCTAGCAATGATGTTTAGGTACACAGTAAAAATACATATTCAAAGTTTGCCAAATAAGGGTGGAAGTGGAAAATGTTTCCCAAAAAAACTATATGGAGCATAAGAAAAAGTCCACTTTGTATCATCTGGAGGATTTTTTTCTCTTTCCATCAAGTTTCAGCCAATAAGTAAAACAAGTTAGCAGTACTTTTCATCCCAGCACCTTGAGCAAATTCTCATGTCTTTCCAGAATTCCCTTGATATACTTTCACACAATCTTTCTGTAGAAAGTGCACTTTCTGAGCACCCAATGTATGTTTTTCATATGAATTCTCTTTTCTGGTCCTTTGAGTATATATTTATAATGCGAATTCCCCTTACATAAAGCCTACCTATATCTTTGCAACCACACTTTCCAAGGCTGATCCCTGAAGCAGATTTTGCTATTTAGTTTTGTCTGTTTCTGCAACTCAGACCAGGCACTAAGATTTCCAAACTGACAAGAAAGATGAAAACAGACAAAGTCCTTGATTATACAGGTAAGCCTCTGGAATGCCTTTACTTCCCTAGGAGAGCTGACATAAAGCGGGAATTCAAATGACCCCACGTCAGCATTTGAAGGCCAACCGCAGATTTTTGCCTAGTTATCAGTCCATGGGTATCATAGTCCACATACAGGTGATAGAGTTTATTCATAAACTAATCCACACCAAGGATATTCATACAAAATGTAGTTTGAAGGGGTTTTGTGTGAGAGAAGAAGTAACTTTAACCAGTCTCAGTTTCATGCTCAACAGCTTCATTCCCATAATGTTCTTATAAACTTAAAATTACAGTGAGACCAGATGCTATCAAAAGCATCCCTACATGTCCCTGAAGAAGTGTACCAGGGTGAATTCCTGGATATGATTTGCTTTACTTTTCTGGGTTCAGCCCCCATCTAGATAGTCAGAAAATAACCTAGAAGGTCAATCCCCTCAAGGGAATCTCTTCAAGAAGCAAAACAGTCTGGGGTCACCCAGGGCTTGGGGCCGCCTTGAGGCGCCCTTGAGGAGTTCACATTCACTGATTTCCACAAGCTCATCAACATTATCTACATCTGGACCATCCTCAACTAGGGAACTGACATTGGCAGGTACCCTCAAGTGAATCATATTTGGAATTAGCACCTGTGGGACTTCCCTGTCAATAAATGCATCACCTTTTTGAAAATTGTTCAATGCATTTTGTTACATACAGGCAGGGCACTATTTACAAATGTATGTGTATGTGACCTCTAATATGATTACAAATGTAATTTACTCCCTAACCTGGCTGTTCATTTAATAGACACACACATTACCTCCAAGGTACCTAAAAAGCATTTGCTCCATTACTATCATACTTACTTGGCCAGTTCCAAGCGTAATCTCAAGTCTAAACTTTTATTCCTACGGTTGAGCCCAAACTAGATGGTGATGGGGAGAAATAAGAAAAAATGAGATATGCTTAAGCCAACATCATAATTAGACTCATCTCCAATAACAACCTCAAGAGTCAGCTGCCTAATCCACCCATCCTAACATTTTACCTCCAAAAAAAGATAACACAAGATCATGCTTGAAACATATGTGGAAAGCAGCAGCATTTGAGAAAAGGAAAAAAAGCAAGGGTGATCAAAATGTCTATAGAAGTGTTCAAACCTAATGCAGAGAGAGCCTTTCTCAGAGGGTCAGCAAGATCAGGTTTAGAGCAGATGTTGGCAAAGTATGGCCCACAGCCAAGTCTGCCTGACTGCTTTTGTAAATAAAGTTTTATTGGAAAAGAGCCATGCCTATTTGTGTCCCTATTGCCCACAGCTGTTTCCCAGAGACAACTGCAGAGTGAAGCATTTGCCATAGAGACCATGCCCGCCCCCCAAAATCTGAAAATATTTCCTGTGTGCACTTGTACAGGAAACATTTTGCTGACCCCTGGTGTGGAGTTTTAGATTTTGCTGAAAACAGTCACTATCGGCGTTCCCTGAAGCAACTAGCTTTTCTGATAAGAAAGTAAATGAAGGGAAATTGAACCATGTCGGCATGTCTGTTGTAAAATAACACGTCCGCCTCAGTCTAAAATACCATTCTCAGCCTCATCGCTCTGTTGCCCTGAGTTCTGAGAATAATTTTGTTGTCGTTGTTAACATTTGGTAAGCTTATCTTTAGGAACTCGAAAGGGGGTTGGGAACATCTCTGAGGTTTAATTTCAAAATACGTTTCAATCTAAAGCTGGGATTCTCCAAGTGGGTAGCTAAAATAACAAAGTGTTTGCCTAAAGGCTTTTCAAGACGGTGTTGCTGGTGCGCACTTTGTAGTAGTACAGGCCACGGGAGTGAACTCGAAAAGCAGGCATAATTGCTTTTCCAAGTTTTCACCATGAATAATCATTTTTAAAAGGTTCCAGTAACTTGCCCACCAATTAAAAAAAAAAAGAAAAAGTGGGGGGGGAGTAAAATGGGACAATGACATAGTGGTTTTACTCTAAAATAATCATGTGTGATGTCATGCTGCCATCTACAGTATTTCAATATTTTCATTCAAACACAGAAATTTTAAGAAGCACTATAGATACGTGGCCATTCTACTGAGGGAAGAAAAGTTTTGCCAGCAGGATGGTAAGAGAATATTTTAGACCAAAATGTTCCCTTTGGTCATGGTCTTCTTTCCTCCCCACCTAACACACCACAGTTTCTAAGTTTGCTCCACTTCCTGATCATGCCTATGGACACAGCGATACTAAAGAGTAAAATGAGTCAGGGTGTGGTACCTGCTAGAGGCACCGTGAAGCTGTTCAGATGTGCTCTGATTCACTGTCTCTCACACGCAGGCAGAAGCGGTCACGGTTGCCCAACCCGCTGTAGCAGTGGAATCGGGCAACAGCTGTGGTGAGTGAGGCCCGGAATCCAGGAAAGCCAATTTTTAAAAAGAACTTTGGCAAATTTGGGGGTTAAAGAATCTAAAGGGAGTGTTCATTCAGCAGCACATATGCTAAAATTAGAACAATGAGGATAAAATTAACATGAGCCCTGCACAAAGAAGACGCACAAATTCCTGAAGTGTTCCATACTTTTAAAAAAAAAAGGAAAAAAATCTAAGGGGATGTATTAGTTTGCTACAGCTGCTGTAACAAAATACTACAGGCTACGCAGCTTAAACAACAGAAAAGTATTGTCTCACAGCTCTGAAGGCTGGAAGTTCAAGATCAAGGCGTCAACAGGGTTGGCAGGAGGGAGGGAGGACAGGAGGAAGGAAAAGCTTGACGAACAACTGGAGTCTAACTTGGTCCAAAGAAGACCTTGCCTTGTGAAGGAATTCACCCTATCTATGCCTACTAGGGGGAGGAAAAAGTCTAAAATAAGAAAAGATGGTGAAAGTTGGATGATCCCAGTAGCTAAGGCCACTCGTCTTTGCCTGACATGCCCTGTGTCGTCCAATGGAGCCTTAAAGCTGCATGTCACCATGGCTACCAGAGGCTCTGTTGCTCTAAGGCTATCAAAGAAACTAAACACTTAGCAGATGGGGTAGGGGGTGCGGGGGGACCACCTTCAAAAGTGTTCTTTCAATTGACACTGGAGATTTAATCCACATTGAGCAAAAAAAGAAAAGTAGGAATTTGCTCTTCTTGAAAGGTATTAATGGTTCATTGCTGAACGTTGACGTCTGCATGGCTATTGTAGAACCCTAAGTTGTTTTCCACGCTCTGCCTTAGTCAGCTAGGAAGGCATAGAAGACCGCTCAGCCTGTGATGTTTCCACTAAAGCAACAGCCTCCTGGTTCCTTGGCCGCTCCTGGGCCACGCTAGTAAAGGGTTGTTGCATTTACTCCCTAATCTATCAGTTCTTCTCCACAAATGGAACAGCCTCCATTCATTATGAGCCCTGCCATGTGGGAAGAAAAAATCTCTTATGTGATAATCACCTTTGCAAACTTTTCAACCACATAAATGCATTGAACAGAGAACTATTTTACATAAATGGTTATAAAGTCCATAAATCATATAAACCGTATCTTGTAACCATTTTGTTTTATGCTTTTAGGAAAAATCCATAGGCTGAAAATCCAAAAGTAAATTATGAACTGAAGAGTTTCACGTCGGTTTTGCAATGTCATGAGGTTGATATATTCTGGCCACAGGGATATTGTACATCAACTCACAGGCTACTTAGTTGTTGTTGTTGTTTTTCACTAATATTTTGAATCAGAAAATGCTTAGAGTCACAGACAATACAAATTTTAGACTCCCATCTTCTTCAAACAACTAAAGTAGGCCTAAAGCAGCCACTAGCTACAACAACAAATGTATTATTCATTTATGGGGAAAATGCAAGTGTAAGACAATGCTCATTATAAGCATAATTCCAATGACTACTCCAAAGGGGAAACGCATGTAATTGTAGCAGTTTCTAGCTTGAGTGAACCTTTTGGTGTAAGCTTTTTGTGGGGCAACCCTGACATCTGGTGGTTTATATGAAGTATTTCATATCAGTAGGAGAGAGTGAGTCTGCCAACCCTTGAAAATGTTCCATGCCTCCTCTTATCCATGTTATTACTCCCCAGATCTGTAACAGATACAGAGGATCTGATTTGTACACATAGGCAGGATAGGATGTGGATGAGGTTGTTCCTGGCCGTCACTGCCTTAAACTCAGACAAGAGGGGACTCTGCTCTGTGCCCACCTCACCCCTCCCCACCCCCATGTGGAAAGTTCAGCTCTGTGACTTTCCCTGGCGGTGGCCCTCCCTACAGATCAAGGAGTCCCGGGGCCAAGGGATGTGCCTGCCCGAGACCACACCTTTTTCTTCCCTCTCTCCTCCCTCTATCTCACCTCCACCACTGGTTCCACTTCCTTGTGTCTTGTTAATGCACTAATGCTCTCATTTTTCCAAGGATTTCATGAATAATCCCTGGCTCCTGCTTCCCAGATATCATTTACTTTAGAACAGCTTCCCGAAGTATCATGACGTACCCCTTCCCAGCAACAGTAATAACGAAAGGGAATTTTACAATGCAAAAATAGACCTCTGGGATAACTTTTCTCAGCCCTTCAGATCACCCATCGCATCCACAAGAACCCTGGAGCGTTTTCCAAACCTTAGACCTCTGCTGCCACCTTCAGGACACTTGTCATTAACAGCATGTTCTCTATTAATGCTGTTGACTTCATTAAAAATGCTACGTAATGTTTCAGTTATACAAGATGAGTAAGTTGGAGATATCTGCTGTACATAGTGCCTATAGTTAACTATATTGTATTGTGCGCTAGAAGACTTATTAAGAGGTAGATCTATGTTGAGTCTTCTTACAAGAAATAAATAAAAACTATTTAAAATAGGAAGAGATGGAGGGAGGGAAGGAAGAAAAGAGGGAGACTATCAGAAGGAGGAACTGGTCTGAATCTCGTGACAGAGACAGAAATGCCCGGCATTTCATGCATGGTATTTCACAAGTCTTGTAACACATTTTATTTGCTACTTTATCAAATCATCGAATAATAAAAAATAGTTAAAACTGCATGTAATGTAGATATAGGTCATAAAAGCATATAAATGTCATGCTTCACATATATAACAAAACCAAATGGATATAAATAATATACACACACCCTACAATGAGAACAGCTGGCACTTACATAGTGCTCACTGTGCAGCAGGCAGGGCACTGTGCACTTCATCACTGTCGCCATGTTTACACATTTAATTGACTCCTGCCTCCATGGGGTGGATCCTATGATTGGCCCTATCTATTTACAGAAGAGGAAATTGAGGTTCCGAGAAATTACCTTGTCTAAAGTTCCCCAGCTAGTGCTTGACTGAGCTTGGATTTCAGGCCTGTATATCTGCCTCCAGAATACTAATAGAGAAAAGAGTAGAGATAAAAAGAGAAAGGAAAAGTAAGGAAAAGAAACAGAAGAGAGAGGGACGAGGGAGTCGAGAGAGGAGAACAAGACAAAAGAGATGAGAGAGGCAGGAGGAAACGAAAAGACAGGAGAGAAAGAGTGAAGAAAAAGGAGAGAGGAGAGAGATAAAGGAAAAAGGAGAGAGAATGGCGAGGAGAGAGAGAAAAGTTAGAGAAGCGAGAGGAGACACTGAAAGAAAAAGAGAACAGAGTAGAAAAAGAAGGAAAGAGAGAGAGAGAAGTGAGTAAAACAGAGCACAGGAGTAGAGACAACAAAGAGGGAGTAGAAAGAGAAAAGAGAGAAAGGAGAAGAGAGAGGAGAGAGACAGGAAGGGGGGACAAGAGGGGAGACAGGAGGGATAAAAACGTACATGATTGGGCCCTATATTTCATATTTGTAGCACCAGCTGGCATTCCTGAAGGGGGAAACAGGGAAGTTTGAAAGTGTTGATTTCCCCTTATTTAAAAGAGTTACTCCTTTTGTCTTCAAAGGGAAAATCAATCTCATAGATTCAAGGGGGGTTTTAACAATTTTTTTATATTTTAATTACTGTTGACATTCACTGTTCCTGTTTTATTTTGTTCTTCAGATTCAATACATAAGTGAAATCATATGGTATTTGTCTTTCTCTATCTGACTTATATCACTTAGCATAATACCCTCTCAGTCCATGCATGCTGTTACAGATAGCAAGATTTTACTCTTTTTTGGCTGAGCAGTAGTCCATTTATGTATGTCTGTACTACATTTCTTTAAAAGAGTAAATCTGTGTTCCATAATTGTTTTAAATTTTAAAAGCATCAATTATGTAATGATAGAAGGAAGCTGGACTTTGGGTGGTGAACTCACTAGGCAATATACTAGTGATGGATTAGAAAAGTGTACACTTGAAACTTAAATAATGTTATTAGCCTGTGTCACCCCAATAAATTTAATTTTTAAAATTTGAAAAAAACAATAAAAAATCCAAAATTATTTTTAAAAATTCCAAGGTATAAAAAGACTTTTGTAGGACAGCAAAGGTAACCTCATTCTCATTTAACTAATTTTGATTCAGAGACTCACACACTATTTGAAGGGCTTCTTTTATGTGCCTGAATGACTACATGCTCTTTATTTTCATATTTTTCAATTCTTTCTGTCGTCTCATCATCTCGTCCCTAAATATTTATATCCGTGGGTTGAATTCTGCTCCATAGAGGTAATTGCTTCATAAAATTGTGTTTTCATTCAGGATTTACTAAATTTTGCCCTTCCCTCCAGCATCATTTTTCTGCCAAGAAGTTGTCAGAAGCCGTTCGTCACCCTGTGGCTCTCCAGTTTGTTCTCTAGTTTGGATAATTGCGTAGTTTCTGTGCTGATTTTTTGACAATTTTGGCTGGAGAGAGGCTTTATCTCCCCTACCTGTCATCAGGATGTTTTTGTAAGGGACCAGAAGAGGAGTTTTGGAAGGCGTATTTTTATGCCTCAGGGATTTCATGGAAAGCTATTAGACTTGAACTATCTACAGCCAATTTATTTAATGTGTTGTTTAAACTTTAACAGGACGCTTGGCTGCCCCAGCCGCCTCACGTACGGCAGCAGAGACAGCCAATGACTGCATCACTTTCTTCACCTACGACGCATCTGTTTTCTAGGTTCAATCTAAGGGCTGCCACACCATCAACGCTGTTGCCAGCCAGGTGTTTCAGCTTTGTTTGTTCCTCAGTGCATGGGCTTCACCTTAGATCACTGTCATTGGCTACTGCTTTTCATTTTTACTTTTTTACCTTTTATTTTTTGAAATATTTTCAGGCTTACTAACACTTGTGATTGAGCACCCAGGCACAGCACATTTTAACTTATTTCATAAACATCATCCTATGGTCATAGCCAGGAGATTAACATTTATTTTTTTTTAATTAATTTATTTACTTTTTAAATACATTTGTCTCTGCCTTCCCCCCACCTCTTTCCCTTGCCCCCTCCCACCTTCCCTCCCTCAGCTCTTCCCCTTTGGTTTTGTCCATGAGTCCTTGCTATATGTTCCTTGACTTTCCCCTTCCCTTCCCTTTCCCTGCCCCCCCCTTCCCTCTTGTCTCTGTTGATTTCTTTTCCTTTCAGTGTTGCTGGTCATATTTTCCTTGCTTCTTTGCATTGTTGGTTAGGTTCCGCTTATAGGTGAGATCATATGG